AAGGAAATGCTTCATCAATTCCTACATCGTAGGTTTCGTTGCTCTTTTAAGACTTTTGCGAACCGCTAGTTCTAATGCAATTTGATTTCGAGACGCTTAAGCTTAACGATTCAAATAAATCGGTTATTTTTTCCAAATTATTTTGTGCTATGAAATGCTGTAACAATTGTTGCTGCACAAGACATTCTTGCTGAGCCTCTTTTAATAAAGCAATACGTTCCTGCAAGTGATTTTCCAAATTGGCCACTTTGCATAACAAGTCTACTGAGTTCGTAGATAAACGTTCTAACAAATATTTCGCCTCGTCGATATTATCGATTTCGTTGATGAACTTTTGCACATTGTGCGATTCACCCACATTGAAATCTTTACTATCATCGAATTGCAACAAAGCTTGTTGAGTATTATTAATGCTTTCTTGGACATAAGTCAGATTAGATTTAATTAAATCTTCCTCATTGTCCAAGTCATTGCTGCTAGTTGAGGTTCGTTTTTGAACGTCCAACAAATCGGATGATAATCTATCACGCTCATTCATCAGACGTTCCAATTCATTCTCAAATTGCATCATCATTTGTTTGTTTCGAGCATGACGATCCAAAACATGTGACATATTATACCATTGCTTTCGTGCTAAACGTGTATCAAAGCTTGCGGCAACGTAATATATAGATGACAATGAATGGCAATGAAATTGCCATTGCAAATTTCATCTTTCATTGGAATATTGGAGTATTGGGAAACCGGAGATCAAGCAAACGATGGTTTTTAGTGCCAAAATGAATGAAGAGGGAAATTTGGACATGGACGACATTAGAATGAGAGTAAACCATGCAGTCGATTTGGGCATCTTGAAAAAAATGGAGAAGATTGGTATGGCAATAAATTTCACGGCTTCGAGTCCCGAGAATACGGTTGCCGCAATAGAGGACGATGAGCCCGGCCCCAGCGATGCTAACCGCAGGCGCGGAAGAGGGAATGCCCAGAAGCCGTGGAAGAAAAACAGCGGCGTCTCGTTCGCCGTCCCGCCGTAGGTCCCGCTCTCCTTCGGGTCCGCGGTCCCGGTCCCGATCCGGATCGCGATCTCGTGCGTCATCTCGACGCAGAAGATAGATGTCGTTGCTACGAAGTGTCACCATTTTGAAGTCAACATCTAATTAATCTTTTTCATTGGTCTCCTTCCGAAACTCTAGAAGCTACTTTCCTCTTTTGGAGTGTTCAACATATTTATCCGACTGACTATCAAACTTCGAAGACAAGCCCGTAAAAATTTCTGATTTTTCTATGGTGGATTAAACAAATAGAAATAATTTGTATTGAAACTTACATAACATAATCTGACTATTACCAAAAATATTCAGATATCATTCGATAATCTTAATAAGGCGAAAGCGAAATTAAATTCTAAAAACCCTCTGAATTACCACCGAAATCGGAAATTATATATGTAAAGCTAGGCTTACCGGTATCAAAGTTATCCAATTACTTTCAGAATGGTTTTCAAAATCAATAACAATGAATCGATAATTTGGTGCATTTTTATTTGTACGTAAGTACACTTTGGATC